CTATTATTCCATAGAGGGTAGCATGTGAGGTCTCTACTGAAAGCTTGTATCGTATCGATACTCGTAACCATGGCAAGATGTGTGTATGGGTCATATTTAAGGAATAATGTAACTATATGGAAAATTATGCCTTTATGGTCTTGGAGTAAAAGTTAGTCAGCAGGGAATCATATGTCTCGGTGTTGGCCCATTCAGGTGGCAGGAAGTTGTCACCACTCCCTGGCTAGCGGGCTATGTAATATATTGCTTAGTGCACGAACCCAGAAAAGTCAGTGGAAAACCATCAAGGACAAACTATAAACATTGAAACTACCTGGAAGTGAAAAGGAATGATAGGCCAGTGAGTGGAGCATCCTGTTGGGGAATAAAGACAAAAGACCGATTCAGTATATCACAGGGTGGAGAAAGGCACTCTGGATCCATTCACTGAGGAGGGGGTGCTTCAAGAAAGACGGGATTCTGTTTCCTTGTGGCTAGCAAATACTGGAAAAGGCTGTACTTTCAGGTGAGAATCTGCTCTGTTGGCCAGGAAAGGTAACTATTAATATGCCCTAGCCCTAGTTCACATTTTATTATTTTGTTTTGTACGTAACCATTTGTTTCCATCACTCACGCTGGTTTCTATTTGAATTTCTCATCTTTCTGAAATCTGTATTACCGTGACTGAGCTCAAGTGCTGTGTGTGGTACAGGCATGGTGGGCTAAGGTAAAATGGGTAAGCTGGGATACACTGTTCCTCTGTGATCAGAGGGTCTGGGATTTCTATGGTTATCCAGTGATCAGGTGCTGGACACCATAGGAGGACACTTTATAGGGACCCAGGGGCTGGGAGCATCTATTGTCAGGGCAAAGACAGGGTTGGTGTAGCCCAGAGGAGAGTGCTTGAGTACCTGACAGGCAAGTTGTGTTAGGGAGTTAACACCCCGATGATACCGGTAAGATTCCCTCACAATGGAGGCAGGTGGCGGGGAGGTGACTCTCAGCCCTGGGTGCCCTGAAAAGCGTCACAATGGGCTACAGAATTGGAGATCAGGTGTGTGGTGTGAAACCCGTTGTCCCAGCCACAGTCACTAGCGTTATGAAGTGGGGTGGATCCTCCACAGGAACACCCCCTTTCTTCTTTGCTGACCGTTTCAGCTGTGAGCTCAGCCAGGCAAAGGATGGGTTTGCATTCTGCAGCTGCTTCAGAGGTGGAAACTCTCCAGATGGAAGCGAGAGTACCCTTGGTGGTGACTCTCCATCTAAGGAAGCACTGGGTATTTCATGTATCAGCTACAGAAGCTGCTTCCTGCAGGACAGAACTCTGGATTCTTTCTTATGCCATCTCTGTAAAAGGGCAGAATAAAGTGCTGTGTCCCCTTTCCCACCTAATGAGTTAATGAGAAACATGTTCACATGGCTATAAATTTAGCAATAGGGACTCCGGTCACATGCCAAATGTGAGAGGATGCTGGGTGCCACCCGTTCTCAACTGAGCAAGAGTTGGGCTGGGTAGCACTGTGAGGTCTCCTGAGAGCAGGAATGTCTCTAGGCTAGTAATGCTGCCAGCCTAGCTGCTCTGAAGAGTGCCAGGAAATGCCAGCCCCTTACTACACCTGGTTGCTTCCCCCTACGAAAGGGTTACACAATGACTTGCCATTTCTTTTCCTTTAAGGCATAATCTCTTTCAAGAGTTCCTGCCTGAGCAGTGAACCACCAAGGCTATGTCTTTAAATTACCATTAATTAAGTGCTCAGACTCATTAAGATAGAGTCGCTTTCTCTTTATTGCAGGTGAAGAGGAAAAGGTCAATGTTTCTACCACAAAGGGCCTTCCTCAAAAAGACATAAAACATTCAGTACAGTAGTGTGAATACAAATGAGAGCGGGCCTTGTCTTGCAGACCTTACTCAAGCAAAAACTCCAATTGAAGTACTGTGTGGTTTGAGGTCTGGCAGGGTCAGGCCTACTATGGGTATTTTGTCCCTGAAGGTGTCGTGCTCCTCTAATGCTTCCGAAAGTGTTTCTTGGTGATTGCAACTTACGTAAGTTCAGGACAGAGGTACGCAGGGTGAAATCCACCTGCCTCACACCAAGCTGGAGTAAATCAACTTGACAGTGGGGGGCTATCTTGGGGCAGGGAGAAAGGAGTATATTCCTTTTCCCAATTTGCAGATATAGCCAGCCCTGCAACCTGTCCATAGTTAATAAAGGATGTCTACTGCACATGCCCAGTGCTAAGGTATGTGGCTGCTTGGATTAGTGTAATCATGGACCTATGGGCTATCTTAACACCTCCCTTGTGTACACATAGTCCAGCTGTGTCTCATTTAGGCAGTGCCATGTGCAGTGTTGTTCTTACCTCCCGCAGCGAAGTCATCTTATTTCCACCACACTGGGGCCCTCTGTGACCCTGCTTGTGATAGGTAGATTTTGCTCAGACTGATCATGCAACAATTCACCAGCAAATTTGACAAAAAAGCGACCTCCTGTCTATAAACAAACTGTCTGTAGTAGAGCACATCACTGATTACCAGATGGGTTGATATTTACCCACTCTCCCAGAAAGCCTTTGCTTGTTTCAAAATATTTTCCCTTTTTTGTATGGCACACCCACAATCCAGGTGTTGCAATCCAGATGTTCTGCTTCATCTCTCTCTAGGGAGGATTCCATTCTGGTGGCAGGATACCTCAAGCTTCACTCTGCTAGCAGTTGGATGTAGATTTCAAACATCTCGACGTTCAGGGGATGGTTAGCTGTGGTATTTTAAAAATCATTATAAAGACAAGGATTCACAGGCCTGATTTTTAAAATGGTTAGGTATGCAGTTACATGCAGAAATCCATACCTGATTTGCATGTGCAGTTATTGCAACTGTACATACAAATTGGGTAACCCCGGACACCAGTTCTGGCCTGTTGTGTGCCCTCAGCTGCTTGATTTGTGTATGCACCTAGTCAATTTAAACCTCTGACCCTGTGTGAGGAGTTGAGATCTGGATTTTGGATATCAAACTAACCCCAATATGTGACTGCTCAGGTTTAGGGATTTGGTTTAAGCCCCTCTCTAATTAAATGGGATTTCAAAAGTCAGTGTAGTTGCTTTTATATTGGAAGTATGATTATGGAGAAAACATGCAGATTCATTTATGTTTAAATATTTCATTGTGTGACATGACAGCCAACATGAATGCACAGCTTGCTGGAACTGCTGTCTGACTGGTCAGCATTTAAATATCCAAACCGGCACTGAAATGGTGTTCACTATACTCCTTTTGCTGTGTATATAAAGTTAGTGCCTTGGCAACACAGACTAATTTATCGGAGTGAAATATTTTAATTGGTAAGTGCTGGGAAATTATCTATTTAATGAAAAAGAAAACCTATTTATTTTTGTAATGTGCTGCTGAAGAAACTAGTTCCCAAGTAAATATATTTAAAAAAGGATTAGGATTTGTTTGCATAATTACAGCAAGAGAACTGCTATGTATGTACAAAGTAATGACAGGGAAACAAACTCTCTTTCTCATTCTGTGTTATCCGTGTATCAAGTTGGTTTGCTGTTTAAGGCTATTTAAGCTTTCATAAACTCAGTGAGGCAGAAAGTCATTAATTACAGGATTAAGATGTGTATGTGTGTGTATATATATATATATATATTGAGTGTATGTGTGCGTGTGTGTGTGTATATATGCATCTGTTTTATTGACTGTACTAAGAACATATGGTGGTGTAAGAGCCAAATCACCCCTGTAATTATTACCCAAGTGTGGCTGGAAGTTGAGGACACGATTCAATAGGTGGCACTTGTCTCTCGGAGGCAGTGCTTCAGCATGAATGTAGAGGTGATGTCCTTTGAGTGAGATGCAAAGGAGAGACCCTATAATACATTTTTATAGAGAGCACTCAAGGGATCAGTTCCTCAGCTGCTATAAATCAGCACAGTCAATGTGGCTACATCGAATTACACTTGCTGAAGATCTGGCCTGAGGTATTTTGGCCTGCATCCTGGCCAAATTCCAGTTTGTAAAATGTTTGGCATAAAAACATTGCGCCAATCGACACAGCTCCACGGAGGCTGCTGCTCTAGCCACTGAAGGTGGACCCTTTACGCTAGAACATGTGGTGTGGCTGGGATGAATTCTGATTTACACCAGCTGTGGATCTGGCCTACAAACATTTCAGTTTCAAACATCGTTTCAGTTGATTACAGCAAACTTGCTCCTTTCCTGTCCATCCTAAATCATTGTAGGTTATTGCTATGTAACTGCCATTTTTGACTGGGGGAATGGCTGTCCTGCAATAGAGGGTGACGAACCGTACCCTAGGTTGTGGTGGGCATTGCTTATGCTGTAGGTGAATTGCAAAGAAGTTTCCATTGCAATCTCCTGGGATGCTTTCCTAGTAATACTTTTCTGCAACATTCATATACTGGGATGAAAATGTTCATCTCCAGTCCCTGCTTGAAGGTGAAATTCCTTCCTTCAGCAAAAACCATTGCAGTTAGAATCTTTAAACTGTGGCATGGACATAGATCTCATTTAGGTTTGGTACTCAGTACTAGTGCTAACATGTCCTGGCTCAGATGCTCAAAGCTGCCTAAGGGGTTTGGATGTTCAGTTTAAATTAATGGGAATTGGGCGTTTGGATCCCTTGCGCAGCTTTGAACATCTCAGCTCTGATGCCTTGTGATTTTATTAAGAGTGCATTTTGCACTCTATTAAATTCTCCAGGCTGAACATTGCTAGGTAAATGCAAAGGAGGATTATTTTTCTAGGACATCTGTATTCTGCCTATGCTAACTCTCCCCCCTCATGAAGAAGACACTGTTATTTGTTTAGTTCCTGGTGTAGTGACAAAATTAAGCCTGCAATCCATCAGTCCTGAGCTTGGCTTCTCTGAGCATTCATCATTCTGAGATGCAGAAGGTTTTAATCTTACTGCTCTTTCAAAGATTGCTCTCTGAAAAGAAAGAATAGACAAAGTATTATAATGAGTCTTCTGCTTGTTTTTCGTGTGCAGGGAGAAGATGCCATTCCACCATGTAACGGCTGGCTTGTTATACAAGGGGAACTACCTGAATCGATCACTCTCTGCTGGCAGTGACAGTGAACAGCTAGCCAATATCTCTGTGGAGGAATTGGATGGTAAGGAGCCTTGTTTGAGGTGGGAAGGGGGTAATTAGACAATAGGAAAAGGCAGTCGGTGGGCCTGCATTCATTTTATTAGTTGCGTAATCTTAAAATAACTTGAACGTCATTCTGAGTGTGAAGTAGAGAATAAAATGTTTGTCTGAAGTGGCACAGCTTACCAGATCTAAAATGAGGGGAAGGCCACAGTCTAAAGTTGTATTCAGATCTCAGGTCTGATTTTAGCTTCAGTCTCTGTCCTTCCACCTTCAAATAAGGCAAGAGCTTTTAAAAGAACAAGAATGTTCTGTATGGGCCAAATTTTGTAGGAGAAAGTTAGACTAACATTTTGGATAAAGATGCTTTGTTCTTTACACAGGGCCAGGATCTGTCTTCCTAGATGTACCATCACATCTGGTATATGGCCATTAAGCAAGCAGTTTTCTGTCTGTCTATATCTATTTATCTAGATAGATATGTGGAAGCTGAATGTGGCTCTGGGGCTGGAAAAGTGCTTTGCGATTGACTTCTCCAGGTCAATGATTCAGGTCATAAGCCAACTTTGAATTGATGAGGGTTAGAAAGAAACTTTTCTTGTGGGTAGATTATCCCATAAACTACCTACTGTGGAGTTTCTTGCACTTTCCTCTGCAGCATCTGGTATTGGTCACCATCAGAGACAAGACACTGGGCTAGATGGACTTGGGGTCTGATTCCTCTGTTCTTGCCCAGGTAATTTCTAATTATAAGTAACTACCGTTTGATGGCTCTTCTGTGAGCAACATGGAAGACGTTGAAGCTCTTGGTCTACTTCCCAGTGGACCTTTTGTACAAGCTCTGCAGAGAGCTTAATGATTCAATGAGCATGGAAATGGAGCTAGATAGAAACCGTCCCTCTAGAACAGGGTTTACACGTATTGGTGGGGCAACATGCAAGCAAGCCAAGTTTTATATGTTCTGAGAATTAATCAGATCTCACTTACAAGCTTGACAAGTCTGTTTTATCTCTACTCTCTGTAAGTCAATTTTGCAAGCTGTACATTAATTTAAGCTAAGAAGACAAAAAGTACATTCTCCAAATATATTTGTTACAATGATTTTTCCCCCCAGTGGGAATTTACTATACTTATTAAAGGTAAGAAATATACAGTACCTAATATAAAACACTTTAAACACAGTTTAACTAAAAATGTCACTTAAGGTACATCACTTAAGGGAAGTGTGCAGATTTTATAGCCACACTCTGTTCCTTATAAATTTGGATGAGAGTTTGGGTTTGGTTGATAATATCGCTGACCCGGCTTGCCCATTGTGGGCTGCAATAAGGAAGAACAATGCGGTTAGGTAAAGTTTAGATGCTCTCATAGTTGATGATCAAACAGGTTAGCACAATGCAGACAAGATGGTAGTGGATTAAGTCTTGCTCAAATGCCACTCTGGAAGACTTCGCTGCTACAGGCTAACCAGGGTATCCTATTTTAATTCCTCTATAGCTCACAGGCACCTTACTTCCTAGTGACTGAGGAAGGAATTGCAACTTATTTATTTAGAAGATTTGCATTTAGAGGCAAGCAACCAAACAGAAAAGCCAGGTCTCTGCTCTGAAGTGTTTACATATCAGCATCAGACAGAAGGCAATCTCTCTGTCAGTGCAGTTTGGCCTCTTTGTGGTCTTGAACTGGAGTAATCTGCAGTGAAGACACCACTGATCCTGTAATGGCAGAAGGACTTCTGTGCCATTCACCCTCCCTGCTGCTAGCACTGCAGGGAAAAGGGGGCCTGGCTGAAGAAAGGGAGAGTGGCCAGAATACTGCTGAGATGTGCTGATTCTCAGTTGTATTTTCACTCCTCTCAGGCTGTTTGCAGCTGGCCTTCAAGTGGCTCTAACATAGCACAGGGAGACCAGCCCCGCACAGAACAGTGACAGACCAGAGATTTAGGCCCTCTTAACCACCGCCACCCTACTTTGCAATTTGGCCACCCCCCAATCAGGTAAAATTCATGCATGTTGTCACTGGGTGGACTCCATTCTGATTTCACCGGCTATTGGTCATCACAAAATTCAGCCCAGGGAGTGAAGGTGCCTGACCTAAACAGAGTCAATCTGAATATGAATCACTGAGTTGATTACTGGTAATTAATGTGAAATGTCATGAATAAGTGCTGGGTAGCTGGCTTATAAAACCAGTGGCAGTTGCTGTGAATGTTAATACCATGTCAGCTCAACATGGTTTGTGTCTTATTGTAATTGTGCCGTTGCACTGGAGAGCAACTTATTTCATTCATCTCTGTTCACAAAGATATCCCACTCACTCTTGAAAATACAGGAGTCTGAGCTCTTTTGCTAGTCACCCATTTATTCTTTGGCTGTTAGACATAGACTTCTCATTAGAATTTATGTATAATTTTTTGACAGCATTTTGCTTTACAAACACTTATTTTCAAAGGCTTTATAACTTTGCCGTGAAGATTTGTCCCAGTTTTTAGCCTAGCAGAAAAGATGTCAACCCGGGGGCATTTTTTTTCTTAAACAAAAAATTGGTGCTAAATTGATTCAGATCCTCTTAAGCTGTAGCAACACAGAAGGATTTTGTAGGTGGAAATGCTTTCCTGTGCACTGTGTACTAAAATATAGCTTAGTTATTTTTTAAAAAAAGGATGGAATTCCTTTTGGCCATTGTTATTTTTTACCAGCAGTAAGTATTATTTTATTATTTATTTGTGTTATTGTAGCACCTAAGAGCCCCAGCCAGAGACCAGGACCCCAGTGTGCTAGGTGCTGCACAAACATACAACAAAAAGACTATCACCTCTCCAAAGAGTTTACAATCTAGGTAGCAGTTATTAAGCTGTTTTAGCTTTGGGCATTAGTGAAGGCATATGCGAGTTATAATGATGTTCTAATGGCTGCATCACAACCTTTGTAACATAGTAACAAATCTGAAATTAATAATACAGGCTGGGATTTTCAAAAGGAGCCTCTGGGAGTTAGGCACTGAACACCCATTGACTTTCAATGGGAATTGGGTGCCTAAATCCCCTCCAGTGCCTTCAAAAATACCAGTCACAATATGCTAAAGCCTTAAAGGATTGAACCTTCTTGCATAAAAGTTAATGGGAATTTTGAGTGGGACTTCTTGCAAGATTGGGGACCAAATATCCATCTGATCTGTTAGGCTTCTCTGGCATCATGGTAGCTTCTAGAGTGTTTGGCTGAATCCCATTCACTTCTGTAACAGATTTTTAAAAGTGCGTGTGATCAGTTACTACTGTGATGAGTGCAGTATAAGAGTCGAAGTAAAACCAAATAGAGTAGAATGTTATTTTTGCTGAGGGGTAATGTAATGAATTCATACTTGCATTGTTGTTATGGGATCCACAGGGTCAAACAGTGCAGTATGGTATGAACATCAGACAATTTTTAAATTGTTCAAGGTTACACATTTTTAATAAGTGGTAAAGGTGGGCAGAGATTCTGGGTTGTAGGGTAAATAAGCACATCTTAGTCTGTCCACATGCCCAAGCAATTCTTCCACCTCCTTTCTGGCTAGTCGTTCTCTTCCCATGAGAACTTCTCAGACTTTTGTCAGCTGTCTGTCTATTTTAAATGCATTCTCTTTTTCCCATTCTGCTCTAAATACTATCGTGGCAGCACAGAAAATAGCTTGAAGCAATAGTTTGTTACTCTTTTGATTCTCTGGTTATTCCTCATAGTGTTATTTGCTATTTGTGGTCCCATAGTAGCTTGAGAGTTTTGAGAAATTCTTAGGATTGCAAAGGAAATTAACTTATAGAAAGCTACATTAGGTGTTGCCAAAATTTGTAACACAAAGTAAATGACAAAGGTGAAACTGACATGCCATCCATAACCTGTCTCTTGGGGATTATAAAGCAGGGGCGGGCTTCTGGTGAATGTTATGTGCTATATGGTCAGCAATAGCTAGGCATGAGAGAATAAATTAGGGCTAGAGCAACTACTTTATCTATGAATTTCCTGTCTATTGTTGATTCATTTCAGAATTGTAGCACTATTTGCACATATTTCCTTTTAGAATCGGCTGCTGCCTTAACGTTACAAATTACCAAGAAAATATATATATATATATATATTCTTAGCAAAAATATATATATATATTTTAATAAAAAAATCAGGGGATGGAATCATCATTGCAAGTTTGAGTCATCCACCCACACAGGCACTCTCTAAAGGGTATCGTCAGCAGGCAAAATGTTCCCATTGTAAGAGTCTGACAAATATCACCTGAAGGGAAAATATATGCATTTTAGGTAAACTTTGTAAAAGTCTGTGTGTGTGTGTGTGTTACACACACATCTCTATCTCACCCCCTCATCCCCCCTACACACACCAGAACAGAAGAGCAGCCATTAGAATGGAAAAATGTCATGATAACTCAGAGCCTGGCCCAAGTCACATTAAAGTCAATCGGCACTGGACGTGAACCCTCCATGTCATTATAAAGCACAGGGACATATGATTGGACAGGATCTGCTGGGTCATCATGTCCAGTCCCCTGCTATCACAGGCAACTACCCCACAGAATCCCTTTTGTAAATTTATCAAGCTCTATCTGGAAATCAGTCAGGTTTCTTGCCCACACCGCTCCCACTGGGAGGCTGTTCCAGAGCCTCGCCCTTCTGTTGGCTGGAAACCTTTTTCTGATTTTCAGCCTCAGTTTAGTCATCCCCATTTTATACCCATTTGTTCTTGTGCCAACATTGTCCTTCAGCTTAAATAGCTCTTTGCCCTCCCTGAGATTTACTCCCTGATTTATTTAAAGCATCTTGAAGTAATAAGGTATTTCATCCAGAGATTTAGATCATATGGCCTCCACCATAAAACCTTAGCTGTGCCTGTTAGACCTTCTGTAGACTGGGGATGTGCCCCGATTACAGACATCAGGCTGGCTGAACTGGTGCAAGCTCTAGTGTAGTGAAGCTGAGGGAAGTTCCATCAGTACAAATCATGACTTTGCCTGTCCAAGCTAGACTTGCAGTAG